GAACAACTGGGGGCATTGAATTGTCCCAAATGCTCCCAACAATGCATGACACGGCAGTGGGGGCTCGGCACCGTGATGGCACCATGCAAGGTGGATGGAGACTCTACCCCAGGGGAAGGAACATTTTCAAGTGAATGTTTTCTACTATTTCCTATGAAGTTTCTATTTTCCCGGACTGAAGCCATAACCTTTGCGTGTGTTTTTTTCCAAGTGAGACACAGAAGCAGGAACAGTCTTGAAAGGCTCAGACAGCCTGTGGGACTGGGGTGGTTTTTTTTTTTTTTTTGGGGGGGGTGCAAAGCAGCAAGAAATTGCAGAAGCTGGTATTACCAAAGTTCTCTAAAGCAGGCTCTTCTGTGGGGCTTGGGTTTTTTTTTTTTTTTTTTTGGTGGTGGTTTTTGGGGGTTTTTGGTGTTTGTTTTTCCTTGAGACTCTTCCAGATTGCTCCAGAGCAGAGACCTGACTGCCCATCTCCCTTCTCCGAGCTGCTCCTGGAAGGTATTACTCATTCTCACATACCACGGCGTGCATCCACCTCTGTGCTGGGCTGTCTCCTGCTCTGGGAAAGCCACAACCTGCAGCCGAGCTGCTTCGGGTCCCTGCACGTCCCGGGGAACCCTGGGGATTGCTAAGAGTGGAGGTTTTTTTCCCCTTTCCTGCACTTACATCCAGCCTCTTCATCACCAGCCAGGAACAAAAGGGCCCACCCAGGCAACACCTTGAGCCCAAATGACTCTGGGAAAGTCCAGATCTGGTTTTGAAACTGCGGAAGTGGGTTTCCAGGGGAAAACCATGCAAAGTTGTATCAATCCAATCACCTGTTTTTATTTAAGCCTCTGAGCTGAAATCATCTACCTAAGATAATCATTTCCAAGCCAATCTGGATTCGATTCAGATAAGACAAGGATTGACTGGCAGGTTTGTAAACCTTTTCCCCACACTGTTATTATTTCCGCCCCCCCCCTTTCACTGTGGTCTCTTCTGCATCTCTGAATGGGACCAGGAAAGGATGGGGTGGAAGCAAGAGCTCTGGCCATGAAAATGAGAAGCACCCCTTCCTCATCCTCCAGCCTCCCGGCATGGGAGAGCATGAATGCATTTCATCTAAACAATGCAGTTTTGGACCATTTCCCCAAATTGATTCGGACCTCCGAGAAGTAAGCGGAGCCAGGCGGGGTCCCCATGCCAAGGTCGACATTGTTCCACCCCTTGTACTGAGGCCAGCTTTGGCCCATGCTCTTTTGAGATTTACCCCTCCTTGACTGACAGCGGTGGTGACACCAACACAGCTCTTGGCAAGGAAGGTGCTTTCTCTCCCGTGCAGCTACGAGCAAAGAAAATGAAGCAACATCTCTCCCAGAGCTAGCTGCACCCAGTCTCCCACTAATTTCTTTCCCCATCGCTGTAACCCTTTTGCTCTCATTTCATGGAAGTTCGGGCTCGCAGACGCACCAGTTTAAACGTTTGCCAAGAAAACACCACGAATTTCAGCAGGATGCTACAGGGTGGTGGTGGGAGCTGAGAGACGCCGAGACTTGAGACCGCTTGACGCTCCCCGCTGAGGGGAAGGGATGAAATATGAGGGGTTCAAGCTCCCTGGACAAAACAGTGCTTAAAAAGTCCAATAAAAATCACTGTGAGAAGAATTATGATGGGATGCCGGGCCCATCAGATTGCTCAGCTTGGCTCAACCTCCGCTGGGCTTTCATGAGGAGGCGGTGCGAGCGGCTCCTGGTGAGATGGATTGGTCCCCGGTCGCCCTGCTGGGCAGGAGCAGGGAGATCTGGCCCTCCAGCAATGCAGGGGTCCAAGAGACTCTCTCGAGTCATTTCTCATGGCTCGCAGGCTGTCAGGACGCCCAGCTCACTCCCAGCCCACGGACAACCCTCTCCCAGCCTCCAGCGAGGCATCCCTTTGCATAAGGGAGATCTCTAACCCTGGTGGGATGTTCTCTGTTACAGACTTTATGCAGACACAGTTGGGGATGGGCAGATCCCTCAATAACCCTCCTCTCCATGACAAGGATGTAGAGTTATGGGACTTGGTCCTTCCCTGTTGGGGGAAGGTGCTTGGGAATGGAGGCTGCAACCTTGCCAGGAGCTCCAGGGTGAGATGGTCCCTTTGTAGCAAGGCTGGGAAGTGCTGCAGACACCTACCCAAAGCCTTGGTCAAAGGAGGGGCAGGTCCTGACCAACGCATCTCTGATCCCTACAGCCATCCCCATCAGGACCCAAGCAGGGAGCACCTCTCTCTCCCCACTGGTTCCAGAGGGACCTGCTCTTCACCAAAGTGTCCACGTTCAGTGCCTAAAATAGTCTCCACATCCCCTTGTCCTGCTCAAGGGTCCTGTGCAGGCTCTATGCCTTTGTTGTGCTCACCCTGGTGCTGCTCTCTGGCCAGCTGAGGGGCCACAGGGGCAAACATCCCAGCACTATCCCACCCAGCACAGTGCCTGGTGCCCGGCTGGTGGCTGTGACTCGCAGCCCAGGGCTACCGTGTGTCACAGTGCCACAGCACATCAGCTCAGGGTGGGCACTGACGAGGGCTGTGGCCAATCGAGGTGGCACGTGGAATTTGGGATGGCCGAATGCAGCTGCCCCAGTTGGCATTTTCCCAGGACAGTGCAGGGAGTTCACAGAAAGGAGCTGTTTCCCACTCCATGCTGGTATCCCTGTGGAACATGCTGGTGGTGGGAGATGTGTCACCCCCAAGCCAGCCCTCACCCCTGAACAGTGGGGGCAGCAGGGGCTTTGGCAGCTCTTTCCTTTCATCGGGGATGTCAGCTGATGGATGTGGGTACGTGCTGCTTCCTCCAAGCCCTCTCGTGGTCATGGTCTGGGAAGATGCGAGAAGACATGGGGACTGGCAGGGAAAAGACTGTGAAAAATAGAGAATGTCCTCAGAAAGGCCCTTTTGGACTCATGAATCCTCATGGACTCATGTCTCCAGTTAAACTAGCTCCTAACAGTAGCAAAACAGCATTGGGAGATGGCTGTGGCCAGTTCAAACTCAGGAACACTGCTCAAGCGTCACCTCTTGCTGCCAGCTCCAAGGCTGGTAGGTGGCTCAGCAGGGCAGACTGCATGCAAAGCTGACCTAAGGGATGTGTCCCACCACGATGAGGGGACAAAGCAATCATTTGCCCACTCAAAATGCTCCCCGTGCCCTGCAACTTGGCCTTGAGCATGAGCCTGGTCCTGCCTTAGGAAAGAGTTGGAGCAGCTGCATTGGTTGGGATGTGCCCTGGCCCCTGGCAAGAAGCAGCCCAAGGAAAGGAGATCCCACTGAGGACCAGGTTCTTGCTGGGAGGTCCCTAGTGTGAGTGCCTGTCCCTGAGCTTCACCTTCCCATGACACTGGGAACCCAAGGCTTTGCCCCTTTGCTCCCTGAGTTTCCCATCCCGGGAAGAGCTCCTGAGCACACAGCAACACCCGCCGCCTGCAAGAAAAGCCCTGCCATGGGGCCAGCCCTGCCTCCGAGTTCAATTCAGGGTGACATCCATCACTTTTAGTACAAAATCCTTAATTTATAAGCCCTCCTGCGCTGGTGAGGCGAAAGTAAACAGCCTTTACACCCCGTGTCTGTCACAGCTGCGGTGCTGTTCAAACACCCTGGGAATCTGCAGGCAGAGGGATGGGACAAGTCACCCTTTCCCGGGGCCCTCTGGCTCCTGCTGTCACCCTCTGCCCACACCCAGCTGACCCTGAGGGAGATGGGGACATGAAAGCCCCTTGGTGACATGGACGGGGCGGGTGTGGATCCCTCTGGGGGTGTAAATCAGGAGGGGGGGACGGTGGGGTGCTGGTGGAGCTGTGGTGGTAGAGGTGGAGCATGCAAAGAGACACATCAAGCCGTGGGTGGGCACGGCACGGGTTGTGTTTGGCCACGGATGAAGAGAGGGCAAACGGGAGGACGCTCGCAGTGTGATGTGCCAGAGCTTTCTCAGGATGACCCTCTGTATTGCATTTTGCACAAACATGGAGATCCAAGCCCATCGGGGCCACGCTGCTGTCCCCAGGCTGCAGCCACGACTGCAGCACCTTTTACTGCAGAACCTCTTGCTGCAGGACATCCCACTCCAAGTTATGACACTTCCCCTGCTCTCACAGCCATCAGCCTTGAGACACTCCAAGCACAACCATCCCCACCAGTGTCACCAACCACAGCCATGTCCCACCCCAAGGGCCCACAGAGCCGGACGTGAGACACGTTGCTGTTAAGGTACACAGGTCACAGCAGCACCTCAGATCATTTAGCACAAAAAATACACAGATCTAAGCAAATAAAAGGAAATGCTCATACGTGGCAGTAAGCAGCAGTTAGATGTTTTGTTCTTTTTACTATGAGGGTGGTTTTTACTATGAGGGTGGTGAGACACTGGAACAGGTTGCCCAGGGAAGTTGTGGCTGCCCCATCCCTGGAAGAGTTCAAGGCCAGGCTGGATGTGGCCTTGAGCAACCTGGTCTGGTGGGAGGTGTCCCTGCCCAGGGCAGGGGGGTTGGAACTCGATGATCTTTGAGGTCCCTTCCAACCCAAACCATTCTATGATTCTGTGATTCTCTTTTGGGGAATTTTTGGCTTTCCAGTCCTCCTTCACCAGGAAAAAACCCAGCTGGGCTGTTCTCTTACCCTCTTCAGACTCTTCAGTAGGTAACCACCGAACTTTAATAATCAACCATCAGCGATTTCGAGTCCTTACCTCTTTTCCATCAAGCATCGGTCTCACTTCGGATAACCGCTCTGTGCTTACAGATTTAGCACCTCTGGGAGAAATCTTTCTGCATCTTCTCTACACTCCCATGTGCTCCCAAAAAAACCCATCTCCTGGGATGCTGTACACTCGTTTCAAACTCTTGGATGTTTTGGCCATAAAAAGAATCCATTTGTCTCAGTACAGGCAACAGAATTAATGTATTAGTTGAATGCATTTTTTATCTTAAGCAGACAATTGCTCGAAAGACTTTTACCATCTAGATACTTTAAAAGAAGAGACAACATACCTGCAGGCTCTTCCGTGCTGCTGGCAGCAGTGGTGGGGGGGGCAGCAGGGATCTCTGTGCAGGACAGCGAAAATCAGGCAGGAAAGCAGAGGAGATAAAAGAAGAAGGGGTTATTCCAGATCCCAGAGAGCCCGGCCCCTGCACACACCACATTTCCCCTTCCCAACCACGTCTACCAGTAAGAGATGTTTCCCAACCATGTCCTCCAGCAAGGAACCTTGCAAGAGCCCCAGAAACCAGCACACTAGGACCATACCCCCTGGGGAACTGGGCCTCCCAGAAGGGCGTGGGAAAGGGGTTTTTTAAACCAAAAATTTTGGCGTGTGGCTAAAGGGAGAAACAGCATGGTCTGATGATGCCAGGTTGCTCCAGAAAACAGGCTACAGCCAGCCAGGTAATTGATGGGGTGCCACAGCCAGCAGTCACTGTGGTGCCCAGACACAGCCCCTGCCATTCTAGGACTCAGTTGGTCGCCCAGGGTGGGGGTGCTCCTGCAGGGTCTTGGAAGGTGCAGAAGGTGTGGCCCTGGTGGGCAATGGGACCACTGCTGCCTCTCCCTGTCCCTGGATTGTCCCTCCCTTCCGCCCACTGTCTCCATCCTACATCCATACAGCAGCGCTGCCTGCATCCTGCTCCGGTCGTGTGGGGCAGGATGCAAGGATGGCCTCTGTCTGCTGGGACACGGGTGTTACCTCCCACATTTAAAGGAAATGCAAACGTATCTGGTGCCAGTGAATGGTCCCTGGTTTTGATTTGAGGTCGGCTTTGTATGTGTAGCTGAAACCCCATAATGCTCTGGATCTTCATGCCCAAGTCTGCCCGTGTTCATTGATGAGAAGAAGGATGGACCGCAGGTGGAGCACATTATATGGTCCCAGCTTTGGTGCCACTGTGTCCTTTCCCCGGTGGACATACACAGCTCTCATTGCTGACATCTTTGGTGCATTTGGGGCACAGTGAGGCAATTTGGGAATCCTGGCTGGGGAACACCCTACCAGGCCATTTTGAAAGTGGAATTTTGGCATAAACCAGGGATCAGCATCTGCCTCCTTTGCTCAGGAACCTTTCTGGCCACAGAGGCAGGGTTTGCTGGGGTCTGTCTGTGTTGCAGTGACCACAGCTCAGAAGGGTGCAGATGATTTTTTTGAGTTGGCCACCCTTGTGCAGACACAGCCCACTGGTGTCTTGTTTGCTCCCCACGAGGTGGTCTTTTTGCATTGCTATAAGTCTTTGAGACAAAAAAAAATATAAACAGTGGTAAACCAGAGAGTAACTGTGCTCCTGCAGACAAGGTGGATCCTCTCCAGGGATGGAGAGCAAGTGCCCTCCACTACACATGTACAAAATATGCGGGAACCACATTCGCCCCACACGTAGGACATGCTGACTGGCATTTTTCAAGGATGAAAATGTGCTGGTTTGGGTTTTTTGAGGATGAGAGAATCGTGAGTTGCTCATACCCTCGCTTTAATGGCTTTAGCATCGTATGTGTAGATGGAACCCCCAACAACTGCGCGGCGTGTTGGTAGCCAGGCCAGAGAGTTACTTCAAAAAATGTCTTAACCCAAAATTGTGGCCCCTTGTAAAGGGGTTTTTCTGTGACAGAGAGGTGAGGGGCTCTCACGGGGACTGGGTCGCTGGGGGATGGCAGGGCAACCCTGAGAAGGCTGGTTCAGCTGCTGGTGTGAGCACAGACTGGCTCCAAACGCCTGCTTGGATAATTTTGAAATTCTCTGTCTGTCTTTATTTAGTGCAATGAATCCCAAGGGAGGTGATGCAAGGAACAATTTACCCTCTGATTTACCATGGCCCTGGGGAATGATGATAAACCTTTGCGCATATTTGCTGCAAGGCATACCGGAGCCATGACTGCAGCATCTTGGGGAAACAAGCATCTGGTTTTGAGCTCTTGCCGTCCCATTGCGACACGGGGAAACATGAATCTCAAGTGACCAAAAACCACCCTGGAATGTATGTTTTCTTTAGCAGGAGAAGGTGGAGAAAGGGTATCTGACCCATAACTTGGCAATGGCCGTCCTGAGAGGCAGATGCTGTGAGGGACCAGTGGAGGAGCAGACTGTGGGTTCCTGACAAAGACTTGATTCTTTCAACCTTCGCTTTTCTTTTCCCATTGGGCTTTCCCCTCCCCCCTGCTTTTAGCATCAGGGAGTCAAGCTCGAGGAGAGCAGCACCTCTTTCCCATCCTGTTCCACACACCATAATTTTGATGCTTGGTTTCGTTAGGGGCATGTGGAGATGTCTGTCTCAAAGTGCACGAGCTACTGGATGAGCCAACAGCAGCAAAAGCATCAGGGGGCAGTGGGAAGCCAAAGCGTGTCCTGCCTGGGCAGTGAGTGCTCACAGGGACTGCGTGGGGACGGGGGTGTTTGCAGAGGAAATCACAGAGTCATAGAATCATCTCGGTTGGAAGGGACCTTTAACATGGAGTCCAAATTCTGCATGGGAGAGACTTCGGGAGCCATACCTGGTGCTTGCTGCTGTTATTTGAAGAGCAGAGGATGGGAGCAGCCTTGGGAAAGCAAACTGAAACGCAAACCCAAGGAAGCAAATGGTAAACCAGGCCACATTTCTGGGTGGGTTGTGTGAGTGTAAGATCCCCTTTAGCCATCCAGGGGCTATCAGCTGCTTTACTGTGATGGCAGCTTCATCAAACCTCTGATTTGGTCTCTGTGCCAGTGCAGCACAGCCTGATTTTGGAGAGAAAAAATCTATTGAAGTCATTTACCTTAGCATCCAGACCTGATCTGGTGCCTCAAAGTAAATATGCTTTTGGGGCACCTTGGCTCTGTGGAGCAAAATCCAGTTACCAACAAATTGGGTTCTGGATGCACTCACACAACCTACCCAACTTGGCAGATGAGTTACTTGGAAGGTAGGGATGAATTTTGGACTGAATGCCCTACAGCGGGCAGTGCAGCTGGCAGGGGTACCCGGGCAGCTCCATCCCACAAGCACTGCCCGTTGGCACGTATGTGGTGGGGTTAGTAGCCGCCCAAACTGGGCAATGGCTCCTAGGGGTTTAAAAGGTTAATATTTCTAATCTACAGACATCAAAAGAGCGATCCACCTACTTATGCAGGGGGCAATGGGAGACCGACTTTGCTGGTAGCCTTTGGCGCATCGATTGCACGTGATGCCGGTGACACCGTCCTTACAGGGACATTGGCCTGTGGTTTGGTTACAGGTTTGGCCGGCGGCGCCCACGGGATGGCAATCACACTCTGTGGGGGGAACACACAACAAGAAGGTCAGGGGGAGAGGGGAAGGGGCACAGGAGGGGTCGGCGGGGAGCGGAGTGAGCTGCTGGCAGCTCTTGGGGCACCGGCTCCACCTTCTCCACAGCTGGTGCTGGACCTCCAACAAACGTCCCATCCAGCCACTGCACCGACCTGAAATAGAGGTGGCAGAGGGGGTGCATGTGGCCGTGACATGGGCTCAGAGGGCATGGCAGTGGGAAGGGGATGCCCCAGACACAGCAGGTCCTGCTGCGGAGACGGGGCTGCAGCTGGGACATCCCCCCTAGGGCAGAGTGCTCTTTGCTCTGCAGACCCAGGGAGGCAGGACCCTGCTCGAGGAACACTGCAACCACCTCCTCCCACAGACTCTGTGGTCAAGGAAGGGTTTGCAGGAGCTGAAGAAGAGGGGAACAGGAAAAGCAGCACCTCTGGAGTGACCCCGGGAGCTGCAGCACCCACCCCGGCCGCCTTCAACCCTCCCTGGAGCAGCGCCGGGGCTGTAAGGAACAGGTAATAAAAAATCAAGGGAGCATTTCATCACCCTTTCAGGCAGGAAGCAATTGCTTTCAGAGACATTGGGAATTCATTTCACGTGCGTTAGAGGGAAAAAAAAAAAACCAACAATCCAACACCTTCCGTTCAGTGCTTTTGCTTTCGCCCCAGCCCTTCCCTGCTGAGCAGCATCCCTGGCAGCTGGCACTGCGGGCGCAGGAAGGAAATGCCCTTGTGGGATGCAGGCAGGCTGGAGGACCTGCTGTTCCCGGCCAGATGGATGGAGGCTTGACGGCAGAGCCGGGCAGATGTGAAGGGTTTGGCAGGGGATGTAAATACTGCACTTGAAATCATTCACCATCTCATTTCCCACAGTGGGACTTACCGGCGCAGCTGTTTGTTAAAAAAAAAAAAAAAAAAGAAAAAAAAAAAAAAAAAAGCTTTGGGGCTTGTTATCATCACTGCTCCAAAAGGATTATGGCCTCGCACATTTGTTAACAGCCCTGATTTCTAAGAGCTGCAAGCGCCGTGCCAGACTGTGGTCTGCCCCTGCTGAGCGGTGGCAGGGAAAGGCAGGAAAGCTTCCCTTTTCTTGGGCAGCATCCTCGGGAAGGAGCCAGCCAAACCCCTCCCTGGGGATCCTGCTCTCCTTCTGCCCCTCGGCGGAGCTGCCTGCCAGAAAGAGGGTTTTGGGGAAAACCTGCCCCACTACCTAAAACCTGTCTGTGGGTCAGGACCAGCACAAGCATCTTCACGGGCCCCAGTGGCTGGGATTGGCTTTCAAATACCCCCAAATCCCCCCAGTTGAGTGTATCACCTTCCCAGGAGGGTTTGTGCTGGACCCTACGATGCTTCTTGGTTCATTTGGCACCCCCTGGCTCTGAGACACCCTAAATCCACCTCATTTGAGGAAGACACACCCCATCCCGTGTTCATTTGTGTTGGGTTTCCAGGTTTTGGTGTTTGGCCAAAGCCTCCCTCCAACCCGCCCCAGCACCATCCTGCTCCCTGCACCAGCAGTCCTCAGTTTGACCATTGTGGTCACTGGGCAGCCCCCCTCCCAGTGGGGTCTGAGTGATGCCTGGAGCCACCCCTGCACTGGGATGTCCCCTTTTACCTGTGTGGGGCATCCCACCCCAAAGCACAAGCAAACCCACCATCCCCTGCCTCCACAAGCAGTGGATGGGAAGAGACAGAGCCTTGCCAAAAACTAATTATTTTTCATATGGGAAGGTGAAAAAAACCAACAACAAAGCTTTTGCTTCTTTTCTGCTCCTTCCCCAACACTTCTGATTTGGTTTTTTTTTATTAAAAGTCCTACTCTCCCCGCTCTCACTGCTTTGAGCTGCCTCTAGGAACCAGCCACTTGCAAACATGCCGGTAGCAGAAAAATTGCTTTTCTATAAAACCCCATTCCTATTGGAAAAGTGAGTTTTAACATTAAATCAGCGAGGCTGGTGATGAGCAACGTTGAGGTGGGAAAACCGCTCGCTGCAGCCCCAAGGGTTGGCTTCAGTATTGCTGGGGGAGAGGAAATGAAAACGCATTAAAGGAAGAGCCTGAAGAAGGAAGAGAGTTAAAGAAGAGCAGAGAGGCAGGAGTTAATAGGAAAAGAAGCGAATCGGGGAAGGGTTACACAAGAAGAGGCAAAGGGCAGGAGGATGGGGAGGAACATGCCTCATGTTTCAGGCATCCCCTCTGGGGCTGTGTGTGCTGGTTTCAGGCATGGCCTGCAAACCCCCAGCCTGTGAGTAATCCTCCCCCCACGCGAACGCGTCGCGCTGATTTCAGTGGGACCGCTCAGACGGGAGAAAACAAACAAAAAAAAATTTAAAAAAAAAAAGAGGGGAAAAAGAGAAGGGGGAGAATACAAACAAAAAAAAATTAAAAAAAAAAAAGAGGGGAAAAAAAAATGAAAAAAAAAGCCTTCGTGATGAGTAAGATTTACAGAATCAGGCTCTTGGAGGATGGGCTGCAGAGCACAGAGCGCTCTTTTGGACACCACATAAATAAATAGCGATGCTGCTGCTGCTGCTTCCTTCCCTCATGAGGTAATGCCTCGGCACAGCTTGTCCAAAGCTGCCGGGGTTATTTTTACAGCCGTATCTGTCTGACGTTGTCTACTCCCTCCCCAGGCTGGGCTCCTGGAAGGGCTCTGCAGCACAGGGGTTATCCGTGTCCCCATGGGCACGTGTGATGTGCCCAAGGGTACTGAGTAGACAAGTGGCAGAGGAGGTGGGAATCACCGGCCCTCACGAGGACCTCACCAGCAGAAACCCCCAGGTGATTGCTGATCACCTTGACGCTCCCTTCTATGATTCCTCTCTGGGTGCAGAGATGTGCCTCCTGCCACTGTGTCCCCAGCTCTCCGTGTCAGCACAGCACCCTGTGGCTTGGGGACAATGGCCTTGGGCAGCACCACTCCTGCTCCTTGAACGCCTGACCTTGCTTTGACTTTTCAGTCTTCCAGAAAACTCTCCGAATCAGCAGCAACTTGACCCTCCTGGTGCGGGGAGGCAGGAGGTGCCAGGTGATTGCTGATCACCTTGACGCTCCCTGGGGTAAATCCTCTCTGGGTGCAGAGATGTGCCTCCTGCCACTGTGTCCCCAGCTCTCCGTGTCAGCACAGCACCCTGTGGCTTGGGGACAATGGCCTTGGGCAGCACCACTCCTGCTCCTTGAACGCCTGACCTTGCTTTGACTTTTCAGTCTTCCAGAAAACTCTCCGAATCAGCAGCAACTTGACCCTCCTGGTGCGGGGAGGCAGGAGGTGGTGGGAGCAGTGTCTGCAGATGTACATTTGCCGTCCCTGTCCCAGAGGAACTGAACCAGTGCCAGCAATTAGGAGCAATTAACAGCAATTTGCAGTTCTCTGGCCAGGGCAAACACTTGCAGCCGGCGATTCCCGGCTCTTCTCCATCCCCAGTCATGGAGTAACTGGGCTGCTGGTGGTTAATGCTGTTTTTTTCCAGCACAGTTCAAATTCCTTTGGGTTGTAACGCCGAATTGAGGGAAGAGTCTGCTCTCAAGTCGCAATGGGGGTGTGATTGTGCAAACACCCCTTTGGCATCCTCGCTGCCCTTCTGATAGGAACCTTTTGATTCACAAAACATGTCTTCATGCCCGGACTTCCCTGGGTGAGAGCATTTGTCGGTCACCTACAGCGATGCGGAACATCAGCAGCCCTCTCGCTGGCACCAGAGCTGAGAAAACCTCACCCATCAGGAAAAGAAGGTGCCTGGGACATTCTTAGGGATAATAAGGGGGATAACAAGCTAATTTATCCTCTGTATTCTCATGCCCTGCTTAGAAGGGTCACCTCACAGAGAAGGGTGCAATGGTGCAGTGAGAGAGATGCGAGAGGAGTAACCAGGAATGATGTTGGTGCAAGAAAACGATGTGTCTTGAGTCTGTTAGTTCACACAGCACCAGGGGGAAGGGAAATAACTGGGAGGATTTAGCTCTTTCAGAAAGTCTTTAAGAAAAATCTTTGATGAGTGTCTGTGGCAGAGATGACCAGGAATTACTAGTGCAAAATGAAGTTATTTCCTGCTGAAAAAGCTGGCTGGGGAGGAGAACACAAGGAGCAGGAATATATGGCAAGGCTTTAATGGGGAATGAGGATAGCAATGGGGATGCCTCTGCCCCCAAAAGCTGATTTTTTCCTTATATAATAGCCAGGACCTGGAAAGCAGGGAGCTAACGGCATGTCTAGATGACCACCTTCAGCTTGACTAGTCCAGAGGTGAGGAGACCATGTAGGTCTTCCGTGAGAGCGACCCAAAGTGGGTGAGGAGGTGGCAGACAAAAACCAGTGCACGGAAGGATGCGTAATTGGAAGGGGGGAACAGGATGGTTCATACAGGCTGAAGGGTCCCAATTAACCACAACCACTCCAGAAAAAGATCTGGGAGTCAATGAAACATCTGGCTGATTGCGACGCAGCTCAGAAGAGCAACAAGATGGTAGGTTGTGTTATGAAAAGGGGGGTAGGAGAGCATCACTCGATATAATATCATGACACCATAGAAATCAATAGGACGTCCTCAGCTGGGAAACCGGAGTGAAAGGCGTGGAGAGGCACCCATCTGAGGGCGACGGAAAAGATTAGAGAGGCCTTTGCCAAGAGACGGTGGAGGGGTGCCAAGTAACGCGGAGCACCGGGAAGGTCAGACAGGTGCTCCTCTCCACTGCTCCTTAAAACACAGGGACAAAGGGACATTCAGCACCTTCAAAAGGCAACCTTTTTCAGCGATAAAAGGAAATGCTTCTTTGCACTGCACGTAATTAACTCGTAGAACTCATGCTACGAGACACCATGGCAAAGGCCCAACAGGATTAGATAGGCCTGTGAATGAGAACATCTGTAGTTACATTAGCTGGGATTAATATATATACGGATATAAGCACTCCAAGCCAGCTACTAACTGCCTGCAGTTTGGAAGAGATTTCCCCTGGGGGCATGCTGTTGCAAAACTGTCTGTCATAGAGTT